CACACACACACACACACACACTCACACAGACTCACATAGACACACACACACTGTAACTAATCATAAAACTGCTCTTTAGGGGTGCACTGAGGTCTAATTTGAATGTGTTGATGTGTGATCTGTTTTCTGTCAGAGGTTACGCTGTGGCCAGTAGCAGTGATGACCGGATGAATGAACCCCCGACCTCTCTGGGTCTCGTCCCCCATCAGGTCAGTTATGAGCTCCTGTGCAGTGTCTGATGCATGTATTTGTCATTTTAAGAATGTACTTTATTATTATGTAAATACACTGTTGAACGAGTGTTGCAGATCAATAGCGTGTGCTGTTTGTTGTTCATTGTGGCGATATTATCATCCTCAGCATGAGATGGCATTGAAATTCACGCTGGTCTGAGCTGATCTGTTCAGCAGCATTTATGCAGATGATAAGTGACTTCTAAAGAGGGTTTGTGTCTCTTCAGTCATTGTCTGCCACAGTAATGTTAATGTCTTTGAATTATCTAGATTTGGGGATCTTCTCAGCAAATACCAGTCTATGCAGTTAATTACAATTAGTCGACTGGTTTAAACATTGTAGTGGATTGACGTGCCAATGACAAGTAAAGGCTGGAATACACTACACGACTTTTGCCCAGACTTTTGCCCCAGTTTAAAGTCTGCACAAGTTGATGCTAGTTGCCAAAAGTCCACAATTTTGTAGCTTCAGACTCTGATTTTTATGTGTGTCTGATTGGAATCATATTTAGTAAATGTGAACAGTAAAAAATCAAATGCAATTTTATTTTTACAAATCCGTTTCAAGCTACATTGATTAATTTACAAAGTCAGCAAGTGTATGACACCTAGTGGTTTAAAATCTGTTCACATTTTAAAAGTTGTGTAGTTATTCCAGTCCTATTTTTCCACACTAAAAACACATTCCAAAAATGCTGCAAAGCTTGACAGCCAGTTGTAATTTATTAGATGTATAATATAAAGTTATGTGAACATTGACTTTGAACCAATGATATTCCACTGTGGAACAACAAAGAAATAGAAATGAAAGAGTCAACAAAATGCCCTGCTGCTTGTCGTGGCTGTGGCTGGTTAGCAGACAATCTCAGATTTATAGAAAAGAGGGCTGCTTTATCACACCGCTAGTTTTCCTTTGAATTCCAAATATGTTACAGATATGTTGTTTATTTGCTCAGATCAACAAGTCATCAATCATTTTACTAATGTAAGTGCAAAATAACCACGTTGAATTAGGAAGGCTGATATAAGTCGCATGGGTTCATGTTCAGTTGATGTGTGTGATGCAGCGGTGAAGGAAGGTCGTCTTCTTCCTGCAAATATCACTCAGGACTTTCCCTCTTGACGCTTCTTTGTGTAATGCATTCACTCATTACATCAGCATCTGCTCTAAATATCCCTCTTCGTCCTGTGTCATTACCGTATAGTTTGACTAAGACACAAACTTGCAAAGAAGAAAAACCAGTCTGAAACTATATGTGTTGTCAGTATGAACAAAAGCTAAATGGAATTATAGAGAAGATGGCTTGTTTTTTTTCAGTCATGGCTGGGAGGTCTGATTAAATGTATCTCATGAACCTAACATCTGACCTTGTGATCCAGTCGACGAGTCTGAAATGCTCAGTTTCTGAAGAGTTGTGATGCATTTTAAGCAAATGTATGAGACTGTTAAAAGCGTAAGCTAAAACTATATGGGATGTGGGGTCCATCACGATTGTCTCCTGTGTCATTAGACAGCCGCTGAGAAAGAAAATGGAAAATTGAGTGACTTGGAAGACAGGAGCAAATCCCTGGGCTAATCCTTCATGAAAGCGGCTGATGGCTCATACTGAATGTCTTGTTTGTCTTAGACGCTTATCGTCTCACACTTGGGGACGTTCACCAGCTTTATGAGTCTCTAGAGTCAGAGAGAATGAAAAGGAAAAAGAGAGAAGATGGACTTGTGCATAGAAAGCATTGAGGATGAAGTGAACGTAATTAAGCTCACTCTGTTTGTGCTCCTCTTGACCTGACACTGCAGATGACTTCTTTTGAAATTTTTGAATGGATTGACTTCATATCATTTTATTTTTTTCTGTGAGTACAACTTAGTCAATGTTTCTTGCAGCATAATCGGTTACACATAGGAGTGTAGTGGTACATCGTACTATCGCGGTTTGGTTCGTGCGGTCAGACGAGGAATACAGTCAGTCACAGGCGATCAGTCCAGAAGGGGGCGCGAGTGAAAACACACTGCCAACCATCACAACAGGACAGAGCAGAAGAAGAGACGATCGACGCACCAACCCAAAACAAGAACGGCGAGTTCAGATGGCACACAAGAGCTCAAAGAAGCGCCTGCTTGTGTTAAATCAGCAGTCTGGGAAAGTTTCGGGGTCTAGAAGTGCACCGGATGACCGGCTATAAATCAGAACCGGTTTTTAGTTTTATTTTGGCCGGTCTCTACTCCAGAATTTCACACAAACTGCATTGCAATCATTTCCCGAAATGTAATTCGTGTGGAATTCTGTAAAGAGGTGAAAATACTGTAGCAGGCAGATCGAGCTCAGTGTTCGCGAAATACAGGATAGGACAAATATATGAATGCATCTCTGAGAGGAACTGACCGTCTTCAGATATGTTTCAATGGCATTTTCTTTTCCTCTTATCATCATATAATGCATATTAAAGTAGTGTTTATTAGCGCAGCTGCTTTGTTTACAGCGGTAACCAAGGAAACGCTGTATCGCTGCTGTTCCTTAAGCGCCACCTGCTGTCAGAGAATAAATCTGCATTTTCATTCAGTCCGTCTGCTGTTTTTGTTTTGCGCAGATGTTTGATGTAGCATCATTTCATAAATATAGTCAAGACCATTCTGTTTTTGCTTTAAATCTTTAAATTATACAATCTAATTCAAATCAAAAACAACTGCTCATGATGCATGTATGCAGCACTACTGTCTGTTCAAAATAAATGAAAAAAACCTGTTGTACTGAACTCGTATAGAAGCATGACCCCAAGACCGAGGTTCGTACCGAACCGTGAATTCTGTGTACCATTACAACCCTACTTACACATGACTCTTTCTACAATCTCTCTGACTCGTTGAATTTAACAGCAGCGCTTTCGAACCTCTATGACAAAAGGAGATGTTTAGTAGGAGGTTCATGCTGCTCCTGGAATAGTCAAGCTTCAGAAATTACCAGAAAGCTTAAAAAATCCATAACCCTTCAGCCTTTCTGAAGTAATTCGATAGCTGATTTGTCATTATTTGCCAAGTCAGATCTCATTAACCGTCACATATAACGTGTCACAGCAAGCTTATGTTGTTCATGTCATTCCAAACCTGTATGACTTTCTTTCTTCTGTGGAACATAAAATAAATTATTCTTATTATTGGTGAATTATGTCTTTAAGACATTAGTATTTGCATGAGCTCTGATATGGGCCACGTTGCTAAATTACTAAGTTGATGTAAATGTGGGCGGCCATATGTTAATGAGCTCATGGTTTTGATGACGTAACCATGAAGATCATTATAATCCCTGAACTCATAAATTGTTCTTGCCGGGATGAACATTAGGGCTTGTGTGGAACTGATTCGGATTCCACATAATTACAGTCCCCCCTTTTTGATTAACACTAATGGCTTGTGAAGATTGTGATTTGAACAGTTCTTGACTCGAGGGATTTTTTATGAATCGGGCTTGGCTGGTCATCATCAGTTGATCAGGTTGGGTTCAGTCTGTGCTCGCAGCTCAGCATCAGCGTTTGTCTTGCTGATGCTGTGGATTCAATGTGTGCTTCTCTGTCCAAATCAGTGGAAGAACACAGCTGTTCAAAACCCGTGAACAGAAATAAATGTCATGACGATCATTCTGTTTGCGGTATTTCAAATGGAACTGGTTCTGAATAAGAACCGAGCAATAGGAAAATCTGCAGAAGGTAGATTATCCTGATTTCAATATACACTGTAAAACAAGATTTTTCAAAGTTGTGAAGTTGTAAATAGAACCGGTAATTGAAGAATGTTTTACAAGAAAATACTCTTTCAAAATTTCACATTTAATTAAATGAGTTTCTTGCATGTCTTTGTGAAATTTACTAGCAGTTTCTCAGTGAGAATGATTTCAAAGTAAATCCTACATCTTTTTTTTTTTTTTCAGTGTATGATTCCTTCTAAAGGACACGATGGAAAAACACCAACATAAATCCAGTTGTGCTTGCGTGCACTATTAATCATACCTATTATATGTAATTGTTTATATTGCTATGTTGCAACTTCCAATTTCACAGTCTCGCTATAATTCATAAAGTGGCACAGCAGGACCCCCTGCCTGTGTGCTGAAGCTTAGCACAGCGTTGTAGCAAGAGCCCCCCGCATGCAACACACACACACACACACACACACACACACACGCACACACACATACACACACATACACACACACACACGCACACACACACACACACACGCACACACACACGCACACACACACACAGGCACACACACACACTGTCACACGGGGCTAATGACGCAGCTACAGACGTCAAAGAGCTGCTCTCTGGGTTATTAGCTCCACCAGTGTGCAGCATGCATATGCCCCTTCAGAAATAACGCTCCCCTCCTCAAGAACCCATAATTGCAAATATGCGACTCATAATGCGATTAATCAGAAAAGCTCTCTTGACTGTGACTAGCCTCAACACATCGACAGACGCTGGAGAACAGGACACATGCGACCACTGGGTCATTATAATCCCCGACCTCATAAATTGTTCTTGACGGGATTTAGTGTTCTGACCTTTGTTGCATTAATGTTGCGCTCAACATGACTGCATGCCACACTCATGATGGGTGATTCGTCTCTTTAGCTTGCACTGGCCCCTGCTGGATGTGTGGAGAACTGCAGCGCATCTGCTCTGAAGGTTTTTATAAACCAGAGCTCTGTGCTGATCTAGTGAGCAATATTATCATAGTGTGCATGAGAGCGGTGCTGGTCAGAACTGTGGTGTGATGAAGCAAGCAGCATCTCTTCCCTGTTTAGTTCATCTCAGTTTACCAGCCCTAACAAGACACAGTTTGATGTCAGGTCATTTTTTTTTTAATAAATTAATGCTTTATTCATCAGGGACACATTGAATTGATCAAAAGAGACAGTAAAGTCATTTATAATGTTACAAAAGATTTCTATTTCAAAAAAATAAAAAATATTGTG